TTCCTGTACTGGGGAGCTCCGGCTCCCCAGAGCCTCACTTTTTATACCTTATCCTTTTACTTTACTTTGTATTGATAAACATGTATATAAGACGCGACGTGTTACACACACACACACACACACACATACCTACAAACGGGACACTCACTAATTAAAATAACAGTTAGGATCGCGATAACACGTATTGATATGTCAAGGGAATTTTCATAGGAATATTTGTTTTCTTTACGCTAATACGTAGATTAAAATGAGCTGTGGCGTATCCCTGTGTTATGCATTCGGATGCACGCAAGATATTCGTGACGAAAAGCGATTTCGCCAAACAGTTTATCTAGGAAGCTGAAATTTTACGAAGATATTCTATGCCTGTGTGCGACCTTATATTTCAAGTTCAGCTTTATAGTGCGCTCAAATGAATGTGTGTCGTCGGAAGGGATATTTTATGTCGAAATTATATGTTTCATGGTTTTTTGTGTATGAATCATAGTGTGTTTTTTATGTTAAGATATTTTATGTAGTTTTTATGTAAACTATTATCTATATTTTCTATAGCCAACTGTAAAATCGGCAATGTTTCCAATGTGTCAATTTTCTCATGGTGCTTTTAAAACCCCTGACGCCTGATCGCCGAAAGGCGATAAGGTGTTTTCAAATACCCTATAAAAGTCCTCGCATCTTCTATCGGGGTCCTACTCCTTCTTTGCACCGTCATCCCGACCTGTCGTTGGCCGCTTCTTTTCATCGCCCTCTTGAACGCCGTATACTTCGCCCCGCCATCTCCAGTTCTGCGTAGCGAACCGTCTATTCCCCATACTGCCCAACCGGGCATCTTGAATTGTTATTGCTGTATCATAAATACACTAAATAAATAATCTATTTTATTCGCCTCTGTGCATCTTCCCCAATCTACAGCACAACAAAGGCGCGATTTACGCCACAATGTTTGGTCAGGGAATAAATATGAGCTATAAAGTATCAACTGCCGGCACTTTTAATTTTAGATTTTCCTTTCACCTATCTCCATCTTTAAGCAAAACTAAAACATGTGGCTTTATTTTCTTCACAAAAAGCCTTTACTACGCATCCAGCAGTTAATCACCCTTTTTATGAGAGTTAAATCTCTACTGCATTGTATTGTGTTCTTTGTGATTATCGCTTTTGGTGCTAACACCAGATGCCGACTGGCACAAAGGGTGCTGGAATAGCGGGTTTAAAAAACTATATAAGCCCCCCGTTTCCTCATCCTAGATCATCATCGGGGTCGTCAGCATCGTCACTCTCGACTTGACACATGCACTCTCTACATCTTGTACAACGCTACTTAAAAAGAATCTACTTTTGGAGAACCTCGTCACACCCGGACCTTGGCTATTTCCTTGCGACTGCTGGTACTTCTCCATGATATGTGTACGTAATTTGGTTTTCTTTACGCTGCATATAACGATAAAGCCTCTTGCTAATAGCCAGCACGCTGCAGCGACCATAAATGTCTCGTCTTTGCTTGGGAAACTGTTGGCATCCAATTAACTCGGTAACCAGTCTTGGCGGAGAGCAGTATTTTTCAGAGAATGTTTATTGTTCACGTATGTACAGTGATACATAACATTATCTACAGTCCATTAGTGCGATTCCTACGAAATGAATCAAATTTAATTGGTTTCGCATGTACCACAACTCAAACACTATTTATATATAATTCTCGAGGCTTAGATCATTACAAGCTTTTTACTATATGTCGCACATACTTTTCGCGGTACACATTTCAGTTTTCTAAGTATTTTAAGTCAAAGTATTTTTGGTGGCTTACAACTATTTTTTTTTTAAGTTTGCGTCTGTAATAATAACAATAATAATGATAACAATAATAATACCTGCAATTTTAATTGTGATAATAAACATTATTGAGAATGATAATTTAATTATTATTGTCATTGCTTTCTCTAGCTTACATGCATTCGTGCTAGTGTTGCTGAT